GGGGGGGGGGGGGGCGTTGTAGAGATCGCTGTACACGTGAGTGCCACTCAATTTATCAACGGCGAAGAGTGCGCGATGCTTGGAAGAGTGCACCTTTTGCTCTGGGCGTTTTTGTTTCCGTTGAGGTGGTTGCTGACAATCAGCGGCTGTTTGTTGTTGTCGACAATCAGCGGTTGGTTGTTGTTGTCATCACCGGGCTGTGTTGTAGTAATTGTGTGAGAAATATGTGCGTACTTGTAGCTGGGTTGGTAGTCGGGCTGTCACTTTTGTGGGCACTGGGGGGGGGGAGGGGGGGGGGCGGTGGTACTACAAAACTAAATGGGTAATGAACACCATTTTGTATTGGTATTGGGTGTTGCCGTGGTCTAGTGATGTCGTGGTTACCCCCAGGAGCTGTTTTGGTGTGGATCAAGTTTCTGCGTACTCCTGCCGCTGTATAGAAGCATTGTTGCCTCAAGAACTCACCTGCTGGATTCAAACCTATCCCTCCAGATTCCTAGTGGGTTCAAAAGAGCACCTCACCATCTCTGGGCTGCGCATCCGAAGTGGGGCATACCGGAGTGTATTTGTTCATATCGTGAGTTTGGGATGGGAGTTGTGCCGTGTTGTCGCGTTGTTGGTTTTATCGCCTGCCATTGTGTTCGACAACAGGATACGAAGACCTCATTCTCGGCGATCTGGCTGGCGAGAGAGGGCAAAAAAAGAAACTACTATGTAAACCAAAGACTATGTATGGAGGTGGTTCTTCCGTGGAACAGGCCCCATGATACTCTGCGGGGTTCAAAACAACATCGAATAAGAAAGACCTGAGATGTACACACACTTCATATCTTGTTGTTACCCTAAAAAACTCTACTCATCCCCTGCCATGTACGAATGAATGTGCAGTATTTGTAAACACAAGATGACCAGGGTTCCTAAGAAGACCTACAGCGCAGTGTGATGACACAGCAATAGTGATTTCTCCCCTGTGGGTAACAGGTCCAACAAGACAGCAAGTTGGTGGCCATCTTTTGTATCGGGCTGATATACAATGTATGTGCTCGGATCGGGTACTTGTAGAAGGAAGATGCCGGGGAAGGTTGGACGTTCGGGTATGTGTGGCGCACCGATCTTGTGTGGTGGTCGGTGTGTGCGTGTGATTGTAACGCAAACACCATGCCATCTCCTTTGTTGGTGGTGCTCTTTCAGAGCGGAAACCAACGTCAAAGCACGAAATAAGAAATAAGTGCCCCCCACCTGAGGCAGGATAGGCAGGGCGGCGTCAGCATCCAAGCCTGTGTGCCTGCTGTGGCTTTATAGACTAATTTGAATGCATACATAGATGCATATGTAGTCTTAAGGAATATGCATATGTAGTCTGCTATATAGTCTTGCCCGCAGAAACGAACCGCAACAAAAGATACCAAACGCAACAAAACACGCCGCACCTCGATGTACAGCCGTAGTGCACGGAGTAGGCGGAGAGTGCTAAATTTCGGGCGACAAGTACGGGTGTTGCGCTGCTCTTGGCTGATCCGCGTTGTGGATGAAAGGGAACCGAAACCGAAGCTGGGGGGTTCACTGCTGTGGCAGCGGCAGAAGCGGCCAATGCGATGACTGTTGAGTCGCGTTCGTCGGCAGCAACGGTGACAGAGACTCAAGGAGCAACAATACCTTTCGAAAGGAGCAATGATGTCATCAGAGAGGGGGCGCCACCGAGTGATGCAGCAGACGACGCGCTTGCTAGAGAGGATAACCACACGGGAACAGAGGTGAGGGCTCTGGGTTTCAGCAACACACAGCTACAAAGCTGTGCCTTGAATTTAACTTGCAATCCTGCGCCTGGGTAACTCATCTCGACCACAACGTCGAAAAAAATGTCGGCATAGTCTACAGTAGTCTACCCACGCAGGTGGTGCCCAGCACAGCATTTGTCAATCCCACGACGACCGCCGTGGTACCGACATGGAATAGGCTCAAGAGATATAGAGCAGAAGTTTCTCATAACGAGTTCTTCACATCCGTAGACTGTACCGGAAAAGCAGCAGGTATCGGTTGTCGCCAGTCTACGGCTGTATTATTATTCTTCTACAAGTTCAAGCCTCTCAGCCCAAGAGAACGCACGTCAAAAAAGGGATCCATCGGCTACTGCTGTTTGTTACTTTTTTGTGTGTTATGACACCTACTATCTCTCCGTCACGTGTGCCGAATCAACGTACGTCAGAGTATATGGTGGCCATATTGAGCCGTGCTACGATATGAGGTACACCCCAGGTGAGTGCAGGGCATTCAGCAACAATAAATGCCTGCGTATTCCACTCACGAATACCGTTGGGCAAAGTTATTCGCCCACCCGCCTACGCAAGCACTCCTCCGGCGAGGTACTAAACTTTCAACGTGTTGAAACAAGGGAGGTATGGGCAGATGCTTTGCAATCCCTGCCTAAACAAAGGTGCCCTCCCTATCGTCGCACGGATAGATTCGGAACATATCTCAATTTGGACGCACCATTGCGCTTCCATTGCCCGTTCTACGTCCTTGTCACAGATGGACCATACGGTAGCCCATACCGTGTTAGAGGCACCGGCGAGCAGCGCCTGCTTGGAGTTGCTAGCGACCAATGCGAAGCCGGTCGATGATAACCATCAACCACAGCACAGTCAGACACCGGAACACCTTGCTCCTGACAAACCTGAGGGGATTTCATTGTTGGGGCCGGAGGCCACGGAACAACCGTATTGCGCGAAGACTTCGGGTCCTGGCGCGGGGCAAGAGTCAGAGGGCGAAGGAGCCGCGAGGAGCCTTGCTTCTGCCGCCTCACCGAGCGATTCCGGGACTGCTGGGTTTGAAGCGCTCCCGTCTGCGACGACGGGAACGAGCGACGAAAAGCAGCAAGAAGAGCAGAAATTGAGCGATGTTGACAGTGTGGATTCGTGCAGGGATGAGGAGGTAGCTGCTTCCGACAGAGACGATGGCGCAGGCCCACCGTCTGAGGGGCCATGTTATCGTGAAAGTGCCGCCGGCGACTCTGAAACGCTGTCTCCTGCCGTCGAGAGTGAAGAGGACGACTCTGTTGCACAGAAAGACGTTTCTGCGGCTCAGAAACGATGCGATAGCGTCAGAGAGGTATCAGCAGGAGCGGACAGTATGGGTACGAAGCAGAGTCCCGCATCTGGCAACGACGAATCCGCCCGCTCGACACATATCACATCGTTGGATGGTGTGGAGGAAATGCATCCTCTGCAACCACCCACCAGGCACGATCTGCAAACGTCGTGTGGCTGTGCCAGTCCTACGGTGGAGGCCGTAACAGTGGGGAAGGACAGCGTCCAATATTGCGGTGGAGGCGATGAAAACCTCCGAGGTTTCTTGCTAGTTTCTGGCGACGCGCAACACTTTGTGGAGGACGTTACTTCGAGCAGCCTCGCTGCATTCTCGCGGGACAAGTTGCGCCGACCTGAACTTGCTGTCGAGATGATTCTACCCGGTGCGGCGAACGCGTCGAGGGAAACACCGCCGATGGGACGGGGCGTTAACAGTGAGGAAGTTACTCGTCCGTTGCCCGACGATTCTCAACACAACGAGCCCGCGCCGTCTCCAGATTCATCATTGTGCAAACCTCCTCTCGTTGAAATCACCGAAGGTTTAATTTCTCGCGTTTTCGAGGTAGTGGCGGCAAAGATGGCAGCTGCGGCAGCGGAGGCGTCCACGCACGTGGCGGTGCCGGAGGTGGCCACAACCGCGGAACGCTTGGAATTGAAGATACTGCCTGAGGTTGACTTCCCGTGTGACAGTCCGTCAGCATCCGAAGGTATGCCTGCCGATGGCGCTATCCAGCCGCCAGATGAAGCCCGGCCGGACTTTGGTCAGTTGTCGTTGGGAAGCGAATCCCCAGCGAAACAGGCGGACGTTATGGACGACGATCGAAAGTCGACCGGTGTACACGCGGCAGAAGTATCGGGGGGAACAGGGGACGACCAGGAAGAAGCGACCGCACCGGCCACCCCAGCGACAGCAAATAATACGCCGCCGCAGCCTCATTCTTCCTGCTCCCTTCCCGGTACGGTCGTGGAAGAGTACGGGTTGCACGAGATACCCCGACTACTGGCTGCAGAGGTGGTCACTGCTGCCATTGCTGCCGTTATGCCTATTTCTTCGAGCGCGTGCGAGCCTGCGAGTGTCACGACCGCACCTCCTCCGAGTGATTCGGGAGCAGAGGCCGGCACGGAAACCACCGTCAAAGCCGACAGCCTCACAGCCGGCCAGGACCCCGCTTCCGACCTAGCGGCAAGCTCGACCATCGTCGAGCAGGATTCAGCGGAAGCGTGTCCGGCCGTCGGAGACGACCTAGTTGGTAGGGTCGAAAACGGTCTCGCCGTCGGCCAGGAATCGGCTTCCGACCTAGCCCTAGCGGCACGCTCGATCATCGTCGAGCAGGAATCGGTGGAAGAGAGAGAATCGTGTCCGGACGATGGAGATGATCTAGTTCGTAGTGTCGAAGAAAACCCTTGCGGCGATGGACCACGCTCACCGACACCGCCGAGCACTCGCGAGGGAGAAGGGACGAGCACCATCGACCCAGAGCCTGAGCGGGAGGCGCCCTCCCGCGCGGAATCGACTGCTGGTGGTGATCGCCAGCCTCGTCACGATTCTCGGTCCGCAGAGGCGCTTCTCTATCTGACCGAGGCCGGGTCGCGAGCCAAGTCTCGCCAGCAGAGGTCTGAGGAAATTCGCGTCGACGCGTCCTCTTGGCTTCGAGACGCGGGGGGCAGGGCGCTTGCCGCCCAAGGAGAAGGGGATGCAGAGGGTTTGGAACATGCGGTAGTAGCGGAGTACGTGACAACCACTCTGCAAAGGGTTGTAGCGGAAGAGGCGGTCGCAGTTGCTGGCGTTGCCCCCGTTTCGCCGAGCGCATGTGCTCCTGAAACTAAGACCGGAGACCAGGCGACACCCCGTGTGCCCCCCACTCTCGAACCGGGGACACCCGAGGGAGACCGGTTCAGCAACACCGGGCCGGGACTTCATTCTGAGGCGCCGTGCTTCGTGCGTTCTGCAGCTGATGGTGACAAATCCCCTGCTCCTGGAGACATAGACGCCTCGACTTGCTTGGCGGAGGATGGGTCTCGAGCAAAGAGCCTCCGGGAGAACGTTGGGGACAACCGTGTGGACACTTCTCCGCGGCTCCGAGACACGGAAGAGAGGACCAACTCTCCGCAAAGCGTCGACCAGGCCGCTCTCTTGGAACGTGCGGTCGTGACAGACTATCTGTCGGGCGCGCTGACCCGTGCTGTGGAGGCGGAGGCGGCGACTGCGGACGCTGCCCTGGATGCCTCGTCTTCAGAACCTTCTAACGGTGGCATGATGGGAAAAGATCAGGCTACACCTGGTGCGCCATATCCGCGTGGTGACACGGAAGACGCCATTAACGTAGCGGAGATTGGTGCCAAGGCCGACGACGAAATATCAAGCGGCGAGGATCCCGTTCCCGAACTAGCGATGCACTCCCCTGTTTGCGAGGCAACAGCAACGGGCGAGCAGGAATCCCCAGACCACGGAGACACCTCCCCCAAAGACGGAGACGACCAGAGTGATAAGGCCAACAAAAATGGCTCCGACGGCCTCCAACTACCAACACCGCTTTGCACCCCAGAGGAAGAAGGGCCCAGTACCGACAAGTCCGAGATAAAGCCGGAGGTTCCCTCCAACGCGGTTCTTACAGCTGACGGCAGCGGATCCCCTGCTCCTCGGTCCACGGAGGCTTTGGTCTACCTGACAGAAGCCGGGGAGCGGGCAAAGAGTCTCCAGGAGGGCTCTGAGAAAGCTCGCCTGGATGCTTCTCTTTGGCTCCGAGACACGGCGGGCAAGGCGCTGTCTCGGGAATCTGTCGCGACAGCTGACCCGTCGTTGGACACACCGCCTGGCACCGTGACGGCAGAGTTGGCGGCCGCTGCCGCCGCTGCGTCGCCTCCGTCGACGGCGTGTACGCCGCCGGCTGAAACCACGGTGGATGCGCAGAGCGTCCAGGCGGCGAGCACACTGTCTCCTACGTGTGACCCGGGGTCGCCCGAGAAACAAGAAAGGATCAGCGACGCCGACCAGGAGCCTGGGCAGGAGAAGCCATCTGGCGTGGTTTCAGCCACTGTTGGTGACGGTCAGTCCCCTTCTCGTGGATCCACGGAGGGCCTGACTTGCCTGGAGGAGGGCGGGGAGCGAGAAAAGGAAAGCTCCGAAGGCAGGGGCGTCGATGGTTCTTCTTTTGTCCGCGACACGGAGGGCAGGACGCCTTCCGTTGAAGACAAAAAGCAGGCCGCGCGTGCTGAATGCGTGGTCGTGGAGGAGGACTTGTCGGAGACGATGGCTAAGGATGTAGGAGTAGAAGTGGCGGCCACTGCCACCACCACAGCTGCCCCGTCAACGCCTGGGGCATCCGCCCCTGCAAGCGCCGGGAGAGACAAGGCGACGCTCGGTGCGTCTGCCCCCCGCGACCCGGGGGCGGCAGACGTGGCTGAAAATGCCGTCGAGGCAGACGATGTCACCACGACGGTACGTCAAGACTTCGAGTCCGCCCTGCGCTTCTCCATCGTCGAGGCTATGGCGGTGGTCGGGCAGGGATCGGCAGGGCAGAGAGAATCCTCCGAGAAAGGCGGCCGTTGTGTGATCGACACGAGTCGCGAACGCCCGGGCTCACCGACGCCGCCAGGCACCCCGGAGGAAGACACGCCTCGCACGAGTAGCCTGGGGCTTGATCCGGAGGTGACGTTCAACCCGGACACCGATCCTGCTGACCGTGGCCAACCCCCTCCTCCTCAGCCCGCAGAGGCCTCCTCGGCTTGCCCTGCAGAGGTAGGGTTGCGAGAAGAAGCCTTGCGGGAAGCTTCGGGGTGGCTCCTCCTTGCCGGGGGGAGGGCGAAGTCCGCTCAAGATCGCGCGGAAAGTGCCCGCGAGGAAGCTTCTTCGTGGCTCCGAGACGCGGGGGGCAGGGCCCTTTCCCTGCAAGGCAGGGACGATGCCGATCGTTTGGAATGTGCGGCTTGGCTCCGCCTCACTGGAGGGAGGGCGAAGTCCGCTCAAGATCGCGCGGAAAGGGCCCGCGAGGAAGCTTCTTCGTGGCTCCGAGACACGGGAGGCCGGGCGGTCTCCCTGCAGGACAGAGCGGAAGGCGTGCGTTCAGGTGCTGCCGCCTGGCTTGCCGCGAGGGGGGCGTCCGAGCTCGAGCAAACGGCACCGACCACGCGGCGTGCAGAAGACGCAACAGCGGAAGCATCAGCAGCAGAAGTAAAGGGGGAAGAAGACGGCCAAGGGACCGGCGAGTCCAAGAGCTTGCAAGGGCCACCCACGCAAGATGGAAGCCGGCCTGGATCACCCTTTGCGAGCAGTCCATCACAACCGGAGAAACCTTCTGCCGCCACCGCTGAAACCGAGGATGTCGTCGCAAGGGCTGCCGACCAAGAGACCACCCGGGAAGCACCATCCCACAACGCCGAGGAAGCCGTAACGGCAAAAGAATGCTTCCCCACGGTTGGCAAGGACGACCGTGCTGAAAACATCAACAACACCAGCACTCCTTCGCCGGCGCATGATCAAACCCTCAACCCTGCGGAAAGCGCCGCCGCCGCCGCCGCCGCCGCCCCGGTCGCCATCACAACAGCAAACACCGCCGCCGTGTATCCCACGGCCCAACTCACCATTGGTCGCACGGCTTCAAGCGATCGGACTGCCCCAGTACCCTGGCAAGAGCCGGCGACCACGCCACTTGATCGAGGGGGCTCGTTTGCCCCGACCGCAGCGGGCCCGGAGGATCTCGGCCGCATGCTGGACGCGGGCGAGAAGGAATGGTCCAGGGTTTCCCTCTCGCGGACTCCCCCGTTCGACGCTCTCAATAGCCCGAGCCTCCCGCAACGCTACGCTCCCATCCGCGGGCGGCCTCGACCGTTGCCCCCGGAAGCCAAGGCGGAGGCGGTCGCCGGGGCGGGGGCGGGGGTTGGGCCCAACGCTGACGGGCCGGGGTGGTTCTTTGCACCCCCGGACCAGATGGCGCCCAAGGGGGACGCGTACCGGGGGAGCGACAGCTTCCACAGCGCCGACGCCAGCGCCAGCACGACGGTCCGCGGGGACTCCTCCGGGAGCTTCGTCAGCCCTTCGCAGGGCGGGAGCGGCGGAACGGACGATGGTCGGAGGCCGAGGCGACGAGACAACGGCGGCAGCGGCGGCGACCACGCGTCAACGCGATGTTTCGACGGTGGCGGCGGTGGTGGTGGAGTTTGGGAAGAGACCACCTTGGTCGATGGCCTCGGCGACGCCATCAACCCTGCGCGGGAGGCGCAGTGCCGGATGATGAACCGGGCGGCAGTGGCGGGGGAAGAGGGAAAGGCGCACCTTGGACGGCGGTGGGAAGAAACCGGGACCCCGTCACTGGGTTCGCGGAACACGCGAGGGAGCGGGAATAGGTGGCACAAGAAGGTCGAGCAGTCGCGGCAGTACCTGCGAAGGTGGGAGGTTTTTCTCAGCCGGGCCCACCGGCACTTCGACGGGGAGGTGAGTCAAATTCTGCCGGCGACGAGATGTTTGCTGCGAGCGGAAGAAAAACGTTTTTGTTCAGGCCTGTAGTAATAGTAGTGATCGTACGACTGACGATCGTTTTTTCACCAGAAACGTTCGGCCATGGTGCCAATAGCGACATAAACCCCCAGGTTTCACCCCTAGCTGTCAAGTGTGAGTTGGCATCTGGAAGAGACTAACGTATCATCGTGCTTGCCGCCAATAGCGATAAACTTTGAGATTCGTTTCGTCGTAGAGTGTCGGCGCTGCTGCGGTGGTTCCTTTTCGGAGTGGGACGCCGAAAGCTACCCTAAAGCAGTCACATCAAAGCGTTATAACCGTCACAAACCCGATTCTCCACCATCACCACTACCACCACCACCACCATCACCACCACCACCACCACCACCACCACGTCGCTCGAACCCCGTTTGCTTGCGGTCGTGTTTCCCTTGGCTGCCCTTGTCTTCCTTCTTCTCGCAGGCGGACGTTCGAAAGCGAATGTCCGTGATTCGTCGAGCCCACCCGGACGTGAGCAACGAGGTCGCTTTCGTCGCGCTTGCGCAGTCCCGCGGCCGGTCGTCAGAGGCGGCCGCAGTGCTCCACCTGCCTCGGGCCAAGGACGAAGCCGCCCTGGTCGCCATGATGCTCGACGTGACGGCTTTCATCGGCCTCGCGCGGGAGGCCGCCGAGAGGCGGCGACGGTCGCGGCAGCTCGAGCATCAGCGCCGCCGGATGGAGACGGTAGCGGGAGGAGCGGCGAAACGTCCAGCCCACCACCACCAGGGCAAGGGAGAGCATCGGCAGCCGTCATGGCGCCAGCATCAGCGTCAGCAGGAGGAGTGGTACTCTCATCCCGAAGATCACCGGCGAGATAGTGCTGAGGACAAACAACGTCTCAACAACTACATCTGGGAGCAGCAGCAGCAGCGCCAGAAGCAGGGAGAAGAACGGCGGAGCGGGCACGAATGGGCGAGAGATGATGCGTCGACAGGCGTAATCGGTGACGCAGCCGAAAACAATTGGCATTCACAGCGCAACAAACAGGATTATGGTGCAGAACCAATTTCAGCAGGGGGGAATGCTGGTCGGAGTCGGGGCGAAGCACAGAGCCGGAGATCAGACTCCGCTCCATCGCTGCTGCCGCCCATCGAGGGGTGGCTGACGGAGGGCACGCCGCCATCCCCGAACTCCTTGAAGACGGTGCTTTCGACTTCGACGAGCGTGGCTGTCGGGGTGCCAAGCGGGTTCGGCTTGGCATCGGTGGCGGGGGTGGCGTCGAAGGGAGAGGGGGGGAAGATCGTTCGAGTCCGCAGCTCCAAGAGCACGAGCAGGTACTCTACTTGTGTGTGGCATCTCGTGATTGTGCACAGCACGCAGCGACAGAACCAGCAGAAGCAACAGCAGCAGCAGTAACGAAAGAAACGCAGTCACCCCATGTATTTTGACCGCTCGAAGTGCGCCACAGACAGTCTTGGGCGCAAGCAGCTTCATGTCAAGCGAGAAGCAGCGGAGCCTTTGTTGCTGTTTTCGCCAGGTCATGCACGAACTCGGGACAACAAGTGATGCCTTGCATACCTCGCGGTTTCTTTCACGGTGTTCCATGAGAAAAACGTCAGGATTTTGATCGCCAAGCCTGGCCTTCCCCCAAGTACTACAGCGAGGGCGATGCTTCCACACCAGTCCTGCTGACCCCTCTCTTTTGCCGTTGCGCACACTTCACGATTAATTCCCTTCCAACGACCGTCAAACCGTGATTTCTTTTTCGCCTTGTCATGATCCCAACAACAAGCAAGGTTTATCAGACTCACTCCTACCGTGAGAGTCAAATGTTTTTCGACCCCGTTATCCCCAGAGCGTTCAGTGTTGTTCCAGGAGGGGTCACAGGAAGAATCGGATGAAAACACAGAAAGGGTTGCCCCACTAATGCAACCTTTCCACCGCACCCACCGTTGTCCCTGCATTCTGATGGGAGCTTTCCCGCACCCCTGCTGTCAACGTTTGACCCTCGTCAACCCCCTCTCCCTCCACCCCAAACGCCAAACCCGTCTGTGTGCTTCTCGGTCCCCTTTCGATGAATCGACAGGGAGCTGAGGGCCATGCTGCGCGCTCGCGCTCGGTGGCAGAGTCAACGGATGGCGGAGATGGCGACGCCGGGCAGCACGGAGCAGCGCCAACAGCAGGGTTGGGGGGGGTCAGGTCTCGACGCGCTCGCGGAGCGGTTTCTTCGTGAGACTGACACGCTCGATCGCGACAGCAAAGATCTCGACACCCGCCTTCGAGGACGGCAGAAAAACAAGCGAGGGCCGTCAAAACTGAGAGGACCTCACAACGACGGGGGGGGTGGGCGCGGGGAACGAAGGGTCTTCGGGAATGGTGGTGGTGATGCTGCGTGGCGTGGTGGTGACAGTGGTGACGGAGTGGGTGGTCGTGGTGGTGGTAGAGGTAGAGGTGGCAGCGGCCGGAGGCGACCATCGTTGTCGTCGTCGTCGTCGTCGTCGTCGATGTTTTTGGCGTCGGTAAATCGCGACCCGAACGCGCCGTTCATGTCGCTAGAGACGCCAGCAGCGGTAGTAGTAGTCGACGGAGGGAGCGGCGTGTGCTCAACGTCGTCGTTCGCTGCCGCTGCCGTTTCGGATCCTGCTACGGCGGCGGCGGCGTCAGCCGCTTCTTGTGCGGTTGAGGCTGACGGGGGTGAGGACAGAGAGAGCTGTCGGGAGCAAGGCTATTTTACGCAGGCAGGGGGTTGGAGATGAAAGCCTGTGTGTGAGGCCACTTCGGCGCACGGTGAAGAAGGTGATGGGGTATTTCGTCGCAGTGTATCCCCAAGTAACATAGGAGGCCGCTTGGATTTATTTTGTCGTTCCGTGCAAGATGGGGAGGAGCGAACAGTACTAAATGCACTGTATTTATTAGTTCGTTCACACCGCCCGGCATCTTACTGGTGATGAGATCGACTCCGAATGCCTCTCTCTATGTACTACAACGACAAAGTGTTACCTATAGTTGAGAATTTTTGGTCAGCTGGATATTGAACAACGTTCGTCACTCACTTCCATCCAGCACAACCTGGAGCAGTAGTTAGTTGAGGATGGATATAGTCTAGGTGTAGCGTCAGCTTTTTTGTTTCTTGTGAGGGGAGATGGACTTGTTGTACAGAGTTCCCGCCATGATCTATTGGGGCTGACTCTGCACCAAGAGGGATGTTTCAAAATGAGTCTAATTGATTGGTTCTGTAGGCAGTGGGTGGGGTTGTTAGCGAAAGCCTAATACTTCACGACGGTATGGATTATTTTTCCTACAATTCACAGGCCTTGCAAACTATCTATCATCACGTAGGGCGGAGCTCGACGTAGCAGTATCCATTGGTGCAGAACCGCAAACAAGATGATAAATGGTTGCGCATGCAAGTCCGTTGAGAGAATGACTTGTTCTGTGGACGTATTTGCTTTGCGCCCATTTTCAGACTCCATGGACGAGAGTTCCAGCTTTTGTACTCCTGCTACGGCAAGCATAAACAAACACCTCGCTGCCTGATCTACGTGACAAAGTGTGTGGGTAGACTTAATATATATATAGGACTGTCAAGTGAAGGAATTGAGCGTACTCGGAGCTTGTGTCATCAGCATAGGGTGCTCACGCACTCCCCCCCTCCCACCTGGTGATATGCGAGCCTGGTCTGGTATACACCACCCGGTAGCTCTTTCCCGGCTTTCTTTATAAGGATGCGAGGTCAATGGTCTAAAGACTACGTACGGCGCACGGCTACGAGTAACCCCCTCCCCCCCCCCTCCTATATACCCGCACGAGCCGACCATACATGCACACATGCATGCGTCGCCACGGCTTACTTCCCAGATAATCATCCACTACATGTGGGTGCCGGGAAATTGCTTAGTCGAATGGAAGGTCTCAAGCTAGCCTGCTTGCCACCATTTGTGTGAGCATCCCTCCAAAAGCTGTGGAGTATAGCAAGTAAAGAGAGTGGGCGAGCTTTCTTTGTAGTCGGGCATCCCAGGAACAAGGGACGTCTCGACTCTGGATGAAAGCCGCGCAATCTTTGGCCACGCATTTCGAGTGCTGCAACCTCACACTCTGAAAACTGAACTCCCAATTTCATCGTTCTCTTGAGATTTTCTCGATGCTCGTGTCACCTTTGAGGCACACCATGGTACAGGGTTTTGTTGCCAGGGGCACGGGGCAGCATGCAGAACACAGGCTAGAATTACTGGCGAGAAACAAAGAAAAAGGGGGAATGGCTGCAGCCCTCCAGCCCCTCTGTTTGCTTTCAACAAGCATATGCATGCACAGGAGAGAGGTATATGTATGATTGCGTTGCGTTTTTTCTCTCTTCGATTGCGGAAATGTACGACGTCAAACTCACAAACCTATTTATTCATGGCGCACGATATGCCCCGCATGTGTGGTGTACAGCGACATACATATGTAGACCCCGCAAACTGTGCCACCCCCCCCCTCCCCAAATTTTCTCGACTTTGCAAGGACTGCCGTAAACCCGAACTAGAAGTATGCAAGCACCCAAACACGTCTCGCTGGTTCACGTAAATTTCCTCTCAACTCTTGACACGAGCTAATATGCCGCCTTGCTAACAACGTTCCCGGTTCCCGATCTCTCGTATACTTGACCCCCCCCTCCTCCTCCACTTCCCTCGTCGTACCGTACATAATTGCAGGTAGGTCGGGGAGTGAGCGTTTGTGGCACGCTTGGGTGCCTCCTGACGACCAAAGCCCGTCTCGCCGTAGAGAGCAATACCATAGCATGACATAATGTACAAAGTTGACTCTCAATTTTCACAGCACGCGCTTACCACCTGCAAGCGCAGCGGAACAGTTGTCCAATCAAAGCCGTCCTTTTCCCCCAATCCCCCTACTGTATTCCACGGGCTTGGTTCCACCTTCCCCTTGCTTGTGTCTGCCGCCTCTCCTCTTCACAGACTCATCCTGTCCTTGAACGAAGAAACGGTCTGACTAGCGAACACGTCCCATCTTTCCACCTCCAAGCTACCACCGCCGTCCAGTCCAACCTCCACCGCCGCGGCTGTTACTCCCACCCACGTACAATATCGCAACCGATTGATGCCCTCCAATCAACGCTGCGCCGCAAGTCGCGCCGCCAACAACGTCGGATGGATTCAGGGGTAGCGGGGTTTCAACACGACATCTGATGAAACCTATGCACACTACTCGGGGTAGTATATATATACTACACCTCCACCCTCCAATATCTCGAACGAAACCATGTGCACACGCATCCGCCTATAAAGCCTCCACTCATACTCCGCGAGGACTCACCAGAACGTCTTGGACTATTTCGACAGACAGTCTGGCGCAATCGACGTACGTCGCTGTCGTCAAACGACAACGCGAGACATTTTTCAATCTCGCTAGTCCCAAGAAACGCTCTCACACTACGGTCGCCTCCACTATTTCTTCCCAACTAATGCGTGCGCCGCAGGCACATTTTTCGACTAATCCCCCGCCTCATAATTAAAATGTCTCGCGTAGCAAACGACAAACGCATTCCTGGCTACACTAAGCCCTCCCCGCTTCTCTACGGTACGCGGGCGGAATCAAGCAACGATGCCGTCTAGCAACAACATTAACAACAACACCCACAAGTCACACTACGATACGCCGAAAGTACTTGCTGTAAAAACGAGAGGGCGGCCATCAGTCCACTTGCGACAACAGCACCGTGGATACAAAGAAACAAAAGAAGACACGTCACACATCAAAAACAAACGCAGGGGAGCACGGGCAGACGTTCGGTCAGTTCTGCCACCACACACCAAGTCAACAAATACAAGAGCGAGCCGAGTACCGCACTAAACTATGGAAGCCCACTCCTTTCCTTCATTCTGCCTTTCTTGCTCGACCACCGACCACACACGCGCACGCAGTCAACATTTCCAGAATCCCACTACTACCCCCCCCCCCCCCCCCCCGGCCCGGGGCCCTTATCCCCCTGGGCCCTTGGGGGGGGGCAAGCGGAAAACAATTCCTTCTTTCCACAAAAACCCAAAAAAAGCCTTTTCCCTCCAAAACGTCCCGACATTCAGAAACTCCCACCGCGCCCCCCATCGTCCAACGCCACTTTTTCTGACGGTAGCGGACAACCGAGAGTCACGTGCCATACATGCGGGGTCCACGTATATACACGCGGGCGTGTGTAGGGGCGTGAGCGCAACACAGAAGCAGTTCAGGCGCAAACACCACGGCACAAAAAAAACAACAGACTACGGTAAAAATAAAAAACAGAAAATCTCTTGGGGATGCCGCGCAAAACGACAAGGGCCAAGTACGAGGCAGACTGCTGTTGCAGGGAATACCATTCACGCTGCTTGCTGGAAACCTTCCACGATAATCGAATCGAAGGATGGGAGAACCGGAGTGTGGAACGCAACAGGATCAAGTCCCGAGGGGATGAGACGCGCTCACGGGGAAGGAAGGCACCGTACCACAAAAAAAAAAAAACGTGAGCGCATTTCCCCCCCCTGAAAAGAAAGACAATGAAGAGCAAGGCACGTACCAAGGACAGGCGGGTGATGATGCCCCGAGAATAGTCCGTCAATATGACGAATCGTCAACAAACCCGCCGCCTTTCGAGGACGACAAACCCAACATCAAAGACTACGCCGACGACGTATGCTACGTGCCGCAGCTCTTGTTGGATGGACTGGCAAACTTTGCCGGGTGCACAAGGTTGTCTTCAAGACCGACCACCGCTCCCGTGCGAGAGCCACCTGCCTTAAAAACCTCCTCTATCAAGAAATGCGCCAACAACAACAACGGTTTCAAACCCTGCCCACTACTCCTTGCCCCGCCCCCGCGCGCGTGGATGCGCGTGCAAGTGGCAACTACGTGTGCGCCCATGCGCAACGAATTGCATCGCGGCCGAGCGGGAATTATCGCAAGACGGGCCGAACACCCCAACCCGAAAGAAAGAAAAAAAAAGGCTGACCCCCCTCCCTCCCGTGTTCTGGAGTACAGTTGTAAAACAGAATATAATCTCGTGAATCCTCGCCCGTATGTACCCCCTGTTGGGCAACGGCACACTTCATTTTAGTTTTGCGTTGGAAAAAGAGCGCCCGGTGTAGTCTCGGAAACAGGATTGTGGGATGGTAACCACGCCCACGAACGCGGCTTTTTCGAACGAACATGAAAGTAAAAAAGTAGGGGGGGAGGGGGGAGGTTGAGCAACCCAACACACGACGTGCAAAAAAAAAAAACGACCAAGGGAAAAACGGAAAAGTAAAAAGTCATGAACCCTAAAACTTTCACACCACGCTCTTACGTCCATCCCATATCGTCAAGTAATCCACCAAAAAAAGGTCGTTGCGTGAGCGTAACAAGCATAACAAGCAAATGCTCTCCCTTTTCTTCAAGGTTGGGAGCATGCGGTACACGTACTACACATCAAGGAAAAAAACAACCAACGGGTACACCCATTACCCCTCGCTCGCTGTTGCTACGCCCATCCCTCGCTGCGGCCGTGAACAAACACAGAATACGGAGGCGGATCAAACAAAAAAGAAATCCCTAACAGCAGCAACCAACACCACCGTGTCCCGGCGCACGCCAAACGATTTTTTTCTCATTATTTTCTTTAACGTGTTTGTACGATACGAGAGAACCCCCACTCTCTAAATGTAACAGGTACCTGCTCACACCTAGGAAAGCCGGGTAAAAAAACACAGCAAATCTGCGCCCATCAACGCAACAGCATCCAGTGAGGGCATGGTCGAACCTTGAAAATCTCAACACCACAACTAACCCCATCGACGACGCTATACTTTCGGGTTTGTACAAGAGGGTGATTCCATCACTGGCAAACAGACCACGACGACGATGACACGGCAGACAGCTTCGTGTGGAAGAAATGCGCCAAAGGCTGCCCGCCGACAACTACCCACACAGAAAACAACGACCCCTGCTTTCCTTAGCCCTTCATGAAGATTCTCAACGCCGAGTCTTACAAAGATTCTCAACGCCGACAGTCTTATCTCAGGATACGGGCAAAAGAGGGCCGACCAAGCCAAAAAAAAACAAAAGCGGTAGACAAAGAGCACTCTTGACAGATGGGGAGACGAAAAAGAGGGGCGCCGCGGCATAGGCACGCACCCCACCCTGCCTGGGAAATCTTGTTGCGTCTCTTTTCTTCCCTCTTGGTACGCAGAGAGATTTGCTGGTTACCGATAGGAGAGAAGCAGTAGCAAGACAACACGATCTTGATGTCACACTCGAAAACTAAAAAAGGCGCAGCAGAGAGGGAGGACGGGGGAACAACGATCACCACCCCCGGCGCCTTACAAGAACCGACATAAAAAACCGAACCAGAGTACGTACGTGACTCCCGTAAACTCTCCCCGGGCGGCGACTTGCATGACGGCTTCCCTCGTCAGCCAAAGCCGGTTCACCCTTCCCAACCCTCACAAGCGTCCTTCTCGACCCAAACCGAAAGCACACTGCTGTCCCCACGCCAACCCGTCATCGCTCGTATACCACACAGGGGGCTAAAGGACCTAGCCTCCCCGCAACACACCGGCCTCCTTTCGGGAACGCCCGCGGACCAACGTGAACGGTCACGCCACTGGGCGCGGGGGGGGGCAGAGAGCCAACGGCACCATCCATGCTTTCTTGCAACAGGGCCAACGCGACTCATTCCACCCTTGCCATGTAACAGATACTG